AGGCTAACACAAAGAACAAAGCCTTTACAGAAAGGCAGGGCAGCACGTCACTGAGAAGAACCTAAAACCCACTTCCATCCCACAAGTCAATATGTGTTTGTTGAATTCAGGAAGTGGGTTTTGCTGTTTCAAGTACACTTAATACCTGTTTGTTGCTGCCCTACAGAACATCGCTGCATGCCCTCAGCCAAACAGTCAATTGTTTGTGTTGGAGCAGAGATGTTAACAGCCAACTTGTGCCTATCAGTCAGAACCTACTGTGGTCGGCTGAAAGACACAGGGAAGCACCAGGAGCCTTCCAGCAAGGAGCTGCACGGCAAGACGCAGAGCTAGCAGGTGTTTTATAGAGACCATCGGAGGCTCAACAAGCTGAGCTTTTCCTTGCCACGATATGCAGTGGCAGAGGAGGCCGGCTACAGCCACCGCTTGAAAAAACAAAAGGGAAATCAGCCAATTTCCTCAGTATTTTGGTACTAAGAACACAACACTTGCCACAGAAGAGTTCCTGGAGAGGATCAGAGCCAGGAAAGAGTCAGCATGGTGCCAGGAGAGGAGCGCAACAGGACAAAAATCAGTGGCAACAAGTGACTTGAGGAACGAAGACCTTGCTTTGGGGTTGCTGCCTAGCTGCGTTCTTGGGTCGGTTTCGTTCATGCACTTTTAAACACCATCCCTTCCCCTAAGCTCAGGAGACAAGTTAACTCCTGCCCACCTCCGTAGGTGCCCCCCCTTACCTACGGCATGGCATGCACCTGGGGCCAGGCAGCCATGGGGCTGGAGTGCCACCTTCCGGCAAGCAGCAGGCAGCACTGCCTCATCCCCATGGAGCTGGGCAAGGAAAGCACACCAGAACTCGCATCCGCCTGGTGCTCCAGAGCCCCCACACCATCCACGTTGCTGCTTCTCCTTCCTGTGTCCTCACCTAGTTCATGGACCACTTAGAAGAGGCAAAAGAAGTGACATAGCATAATCCCACTCAGGGACAAACGGCATGGCTTTTCGCAGGTTGGCTCTGGAGCAATCAGAGAGGACAACTGTCTAAGATCAGTCAGTTCCCCAGATCTTCTCAGCAACGTGCCCTGGGTCAAGATCTCCTCCAAAACCAAGCACAACAGTCACTTGGTGATCAACTCAAAACCACCCCAGAGGTCCAGCAGGACATTCATGAAGGAGAAAGCCTGAAATGCTTGATCCACCTCCTGGCACCAGCCACCTACACCCTGGTCACTCTCAGTGAGATGGTATCCAAGTGCTTAACGGGCCTCGATGGGCCTGTCTTGTGCGAGGATATCCAACATTTCTAAGAAGGCAAAAAATGTAAGTACATACAAAGGCATCGAGCAGCGGTGAGTTTCAGAGCTGAACTGGACATGCTACAAAACATTTCCTTCCATTTTAAGCCAGACACACCTCCTACAATCCCACTCAATTTAAAAAAAAAAAAAAAAAAGAAAAAAAATCTCTGTTTACAACCCAATGCCTCTCTCTCAAGAGAGTCTCAGTGAACTCAAGCTTTCCTCCTGCAGAAGCCAGCCCTGCTCAAACTTTCCATATCTTTCTACCATTTTCTATTTCAGTTCAGCCTGTACTACAGTTTTAGCACATGGACACATTCAGTTGAGTACAATTTCTTCTTCTGACCACCTGATGCCTCGCTGGCCCTGAGCTGTCTACCAGGAGCGGTCTTTACCATTTCCTGCTCAAGTTTCATCAACTACCCTAAAAGAAAGGAGTGGGAAATAGTCACGTTTAAAAGGCAGAGATAAATCACCCCATCACGCCTATCTGTGTGCCCAGCCAGCGTGGAAGATCCAGCCTTGTCCCAGTGTCACCCAGGGTAGGCATGATGACACAGTCCCTCTGCCGCTTGCGCAGGCACAACATCTCCAGCACTGCCAACATCCTTTGGCCGAACACCTCTGTGACGCTGCCCACACACAAGCCTGGGTTAGATGAAGACTACTGGCACAAGTACGCGCTGCCAGCCTCCAAACAGAGGTGTTCTCCACTCCAGCGATTTGGGACGTGCATGGGAAGCTTCACACTGTCAGCAGGACAATAATCCCTGAAACTTCTGCCTCCTACCCCAAACCAAGACCTATTACGACCCATGGGACAGCTTCAGGGATCAAAACACAGCCTAAAAGGCAGCCCGAGAAGTCATATCTTGTCTACCCTCTTTTCTACTAGCCCTGTCACTAACTATATTACTATTATCAACAGAAGATATTAAGACTCACTGGGCAAAACCAGCACCCTCTCCAAACTCCTTGTGTTTCACTGTCCTCATTCTTCTGTTTTAACTTGTCTGTAGTGTCATTAGAAGTTATTAGAGCTTCTAATACACTGATAGTGACTCCCACCTTGGACCAGCTGAAGCTGGTAACATCTTCTCTATTTCATCAATACTCCATTGGTGTGATAAGTGCAGACCCAGAGGAGACCCTTCCACCAGTGGTGCAGCAGAACCACGCCAAAACACAACTGAACACTTGGACTCCTTGCACAAAAGGCTCCGCAAGAGAGTGGAGACGCTTCACGTAGGAAAACAGCTTTTCTCCTGCTTCACCTTTTGCCTTCCTCTAGGCAGCACTGCAGACAGTGGCATTAAAGCAAATCTTGTGGGTAAAAAGGAAAAGAAGAGATGAGAGTGAAGACAACTCAAGGAAGAAACATCCTGTGCAGAATGGGACCAATATATTCAAGAAGAGATTACGCAGCAGGCAAGAGATACAGATACCTGCACAGAATTGTGTTTTGTAATAGAGAACTCGTCAAAATCAGAGAGACAGAAGCAGAACAAGATCAAAGTTAAACCAAGTTGAGGGCAAAACACCAGTTTTAAAGTTAAGTCATTCAAACAGCAAGAATTGGCCTATCGGATTACATGAGATGTAATTACATGAGATGTTTAAGGCCTTCTGCACAACTCAAGCTGGATGTAGACACTGGATAAAGGTCAACAGGACTGGTGTAACAGGAAACTGGATTTCCACAGCCATTCACAGCCTTCCTACCAAGTCACGCAGGGTGTAATCCAGGCAGGCATGGTCTGAGACCTTTCAGTTCATCTTTTCCACACGCCGTTTTTCAAAGTGAGAGTTAGGGAACAGCAAAGTTTTAAAGTCTGCAAGATACTCATGTGTCCTGCCCGGACTATTGCCTTTAAAAAGAAGAGACCATTAGTGATTACTATGATACTTCCATAGAGACTAGACATTTCCAGGAACCTCTAGGGCAGCAAAGGAAAAGCATCAGTGGAGGATAAACTACCTAATATTGCCAGGCTCAAACAGTATTGATGTCTTTACAGCAAAGTAAAGATGGGTAAAGAGGTGTTTTGAAAGTTAACTTAATTATTTTAAGTTTCAGAGAACAGAAGAGTTTGCTCCATACAACTAAGATGATGAGCTAGCAACTGCTTCATCCATTGCAAACACTGCTGCAAAATGAGGGCTTGGTAATGTCTTGCTGAAGTCTTGCTCCGTAGCCAGATACCAAAATTCAATGATTTTTACTGACAGGCATATAAGAAAAAAATATTTCTTAGAAAACAGGAAAAGCTTAAAAGACAGGCAGCTTTAGCACAGTGACCCAGAAAATAACAGATATGAGCCACTGGGTTAGAAAAATGAGATAGTGTTACTGTCCAGATATAGAAAGGACAGAACAGGAAGGAATACAGCAGAGAGACAGGTCTTTAATCAGTATTTGCACGTGCAGGAGATGCCACAGATAGGCCAAAATTTAAAATCTTTGAATCAACCACAAAAGCTTTTCCACATCAGCCTACACCGTTCAAAAAGCTCTAGATGGCAAGCAAGATAACGCACACACAACTGCCAAAAATGCAAGATTAAACACCGCTTGCCAGAGTGCTTGTGACGAGCCCAAGCTCACTATATCAAATAAAGGAATGGTGATGTATCAGCTGTCTGACTCGAGAACAGAGTACAATCTCCTTCTCAGAGATGCAAGTTAAAGTCATGTTCTAATGAATGAGAAATTCATTTTTGTTCATGATATATCTCCTTACTGGTTAGAGAAGGCCACTGGCTACGCAGTTTTCAAGCCAAACTAGAGCTTACAGGAACGTAGACTAAGGAAAGGAAAAAAGGCAATTTTTACTTCCATGTTTCAGATGCAAACTAGCACAACTGGTATCTCACCAAGGCTAGCAATTTCATTTTATTACCAATTAAAACAAGAGCAGCACACAGGGAAGCAGAAGGTTGTGCAAAACCACTAGGAAAAGATACTTGCACGAACGCTGTGCTATTTCAAGCTTTTCACATCAGCTGAACCTGCTGTGGAAGCGCAGGTGCCCCGTGTCTTTTCATGCACCGACAGAGACATGCTGAGGCTGCTGCAGCCCCATCTTTCCCTGCTGCATATTCTAGGCCCTCCCTTCCCCTAGTGCTGGCATTGGTTGGATCCCATTGAGCTGGCCAAGAAAAACAAATCAGTCAAAGATTAACCCCCAAAGTGAAAAGTTGTTCAATTTTTGGCCAGCTCAACCCCCTGAACCAGTTTGTGATGGGGTCAGAGGAAGGCCTACAGCCCCTGGGATGGGATGGCAGGATCACAGCAGCCCTGACGAAGGCTGATTGACCTCGGTGGGTCAGAACTAGCAGGCAACTGCTGTCACGCGCATGCAAATGTTTTGCAGCAGGATCACATTTTAAAGAACCCAGGAACATTTAACACAAGGGACAAGGGTAGATGACAGCTCTAATAGAGACTGAACCAGTTCTGCAATGGAAGGCAGCAAAGGAGCTGTGCCAACGAAGCGTGCACACCCTGGGAGCAGAAGCCTTTAACAACGTAGTGATACTGTGCAGCTGGTTTGAGACCTCCAGGTACAATCAAAACAGTTTCATTCAAGAAGCTGCAAAAAACATTGCAGCTACAGGGCTGAGTGTGGAAAGCTGGTCTGAGAGCCCTCAAGTCTTGAAGAACACCAACGTTTCAAATGCTGTTCATGAACAGCTGGTACTCACGTGATGAAGTCCAGAAAACTTGCTAGGGGCTCATAAGCATGGTTCCTCATGTGACGAAACTCCACCACCATCTTCTCCTTCAGCTTGTCGTCTATGACGGAGACGGTAAGCGGGGAGGCTTCGTTGGCCAGGAAGTTCCCATAGTCTGTGCTCTGGAGGTGCAGTTTCAAGTCTGAAAAAGAAAGAACAATTCCACTCTACAGGGTTTGTGTTGGGTTTGGGGGTTTTTTTGAGCATATCCAAAAAAGCTGTTGCTCAGCACTTCTCCAGGCATTCTCTTCTCTGAAAGATCACGTAGACAAAACCCATGTGTTAAGTCACACACTTACACTTGTGCTCAGTTTATCATGGACAATCCAAATGCAGTAAAAGATCAGTGTTTCACCATACCAGCCTTCCCCCATCTTAAAGAGGAAGCTGTGACATTATCTGTGTAACTGAACACACACCTGGTCCTGCTGTCCACTGTGCTTGATCAAGGTGGAAGATGACTGATTTTTTAGGAAGTATTTGCTAGAAATCTAGAAAAAAAAAGATTCCTCTAGACAAAAGGGCTCTGGCTGCAGGCTTCTCTGAAGCAATCACGACCAAGAACCTATCTGCACCCACAAGCAAGTTTCCTCAGATACTAGTGATGTGGAAGCATCTGAAAAGCTTTCAAAGCCAAAAAGACACAAAGAGCAACCTTGAAATTATAAAGCAGCTAGGTACTACATCATCAAGTCAGTTCAACTAATTGCACTGGTAAAGAAAAGTCAGGCATTAAGAGGTAGAGGAGGGCTGGTGAAGAGGAAGGCCATTTAAATCCATCTCATATGGTAGGCAACCCCCGCCCAGGAAGGAGGAACATGCTCAGAAGCCTCCCCCTCCTCCAGTTTCAAGTAGAGGAAACCTTTGTTTCCTCTGTTACCCTTGCTGCAGGTCAGGTGCCCAAGGAAGCTGCAGTCCTGGCCAAGAAGCAACCACAACATGCTGAGCTCTGTCAAGATAAAAGCCCTATTTAAGCCAAAAGCATTTAAGTGTCTCTATGGAAAAACTGAATCCAGAACTGAGGAACGTCATATAATCCTACTCCTCAAAGCTCTACTAGTTGCGCTGGTACATAATGTTCATCTCCCTTCAGCTTCACCTCAGAGGGCCAGTTAGGCAAGCACCCTCCTAGGGATTCAAGACCTTTATGGGGAAAGGAGAGTTTAGTCAAACCAGATGTGAACACACGGTCCAGAGAAAACAAAAAAAACCAAAACAAAAACAAAACAAAAAAAAACCCACACACACAAGAAAAAAAAGACATTTCTCCCTGGTTTCTCTGCAGCAGGAGCACTGAGGCTGCCTTTCCCTTCCACTGAACCATACAAGTCCTCAGCATTATGGCACAAGCACCCACGGCACGGAGGTCCGAGCACGGACTCAGCCCAGCTTGAGGATTTTGACCTTTTAACATTACACCCAGCTACAGGCATGAGCTGCAGAGCATCCTCCGCACCGGGCTCCAAACCGAGCTGGTACTGTACAGTGCAATACAGTCTCCAGCCCGAGGGGTGGAAGGGTCAAATGGCATTCAAGCTGACTTTAACTCTTCTGGGTATTTCCAAGAGGGTCTAGCAAAGATGTTTTTGACCCAGCACCTTTTATTTACGAAGATGTTACCACTGCTAAGTCTCACAGGAAACAGATGGTGGTTATAGAGGGGGGGAAAAAAAAGGCCAGAGACTTAAGTAGTGCTCAGTTGCTGTCATGTTTCTCAGCGGTTTACAGGAGAGCTTGGTGGTACTCTTACCTTTAGGAAGAAATCCTGGATGCAGCAAGAGAGCTACTTGCCCAACAACACCCATGGCTGAAGCAAAGCAGAAACTTAACCTAGATCTCTGCTCCCCAGACTATGCTGCAAAACATTATTAACTTATGCTCACACTTTCGAGGTGGGAAAACATGGTCTGGATAACTCAAGACAGTGGAGTTTTCAACACGACCCTTGTCAAAGTCAAACAGTGGATCATGCCAAAACTCAGAATGCCCCTTACCTCCATGCAGCCCGCATGGGATTGTTACTGACGATAATCACTTCCTAAACCCTGCAAAAAGCCCAATTCAGAGGCAGCACCCTGCATGCAAAGAGTTCTCGCCCATCTGTTTTGCAATTGCTTGATTTTTGAAAGCTAAGATACAGTTACAGAGGAGAAATCTTCCGGAATTACGTCTTAATGAGTTTCAGTCCCTCTTCTGAAAGCTCTTGGATGATGAGCTTTGGAGTCCGAGTGGAAATTAAGTTCCACTGTCAGATCAGGGCTTTACTAGTCTGCTTTTAGCAGAGGCTGCAGAAAGCACGGAACAAAATTCAGCAGTTGCTCAATGAATATGAGAGAAAGGGTCCTGGTAAGAGTATTGCACCCACAAAATCAGACTGCAAGGGAAGGCACAGGGGACGGCAGTAGCTACGTTCATATACCTCCTACTTTCAGTTCTCTGCAATTGTGCAGAGCTCTAATGAAAACGAAGCCTGCCCCAAAAGGCACGTGATGTTGTTTTGCAGCTATACAGGACCTTGGAGAGGAAGCAGCTATTGCATATCCTACCACGTCTTACTTCAGTAGGGAAGCTTCCAAAGCTTTCAGCTTGTTTCCTCAACTCCAACTCTGCTACAGCAAAACCATTGGTTCCTTTTGGTGTCACCATGACCTGCAACTCTGCTCTTACTTTTGAGGCTGCAAGAAGCCGCCTTGCTATCGGGTCACTTGGTGCTAGAGACCCAGTGACAGAGTTTGCTGTACCATCCACTTCCAGGAAGTCGGAGCTGTATTGCATTTAGACCAGAGCCACACAAGCTGCACGCTGTGCCTTACAGCCTCTCCCTCAACAGCTCTGAGCAAGCTCCCATGAGCCGCTTGGCCAGAGCATTCTGTCCTGCTCGATGAGGGGGTTGCCCCCCCAACTCCACAGCACAAGAGCCAGCACAACATTATGTTGCAACTGGAATAAGGGCCATGTTTATATAACACTTGGAATTAATTTTTACAGGGAAGGCCAGCCACAAACTGCAGGAACTAACTCTTCTGAATCTCTTTAGCATCCAAGCAGACGGAACAGAACATATTTTCTAAAAACTGGACTGGATTTACAAACCCTGATTCAATGCATCCCACGGCGTACCAGTGCCTTACGCGAGCCGGTCCTCCTCCAGCCACTGGGCCAGTCACCGAGCCTCAGCCAAGGGGGTTTGAGAGTTTTTAATGTCAGGCTTCTCAGTTAAGAACGGACTAATCCCGTGGTTTCACAAATCCCCTGCCAGAAGAGCTGTCCCAGTAGCACGGTGACTAATAAGCGGACCCACTGCTGAGCAAGCCCCATGCTCTCCAAAAGCTCAAGTTCCTATTTCCTAACGCAAGATCAGAGCGAACTGGAGTCGGCCTTTGGCAGCAACAGCAGCACCTCGGCAGGGGCGGCTGCCAGAGATCCCACACGCTGCATGTTGACGAGACGCTGGCTGCGAGCCTTCTGCCGTGCCTCTTCCCCAGCTGCCTGCCGAAAGGGAGAGAGACCTGCACCTAGAGCCCAGCCGCTCCCGATGAGGTCCTCCAGACGCTGACTAACAGCAGCACACGGCCTCAACCCAGCGACTGCTTTTGAGAGGTATGTTTGCCTGTTCCGGCATTTTTCCAAGCGATTCACGCACTTTAAGAAACAGACTGAGCGAGCATTTGGCAAGGGAGTGCTTGAATTACCACAACGCTTTTGTTTTCTCTCCTCCCCCGCAAAAGCTGGTAAATTATGGCCAGGTCACAGTTCCCAGAAAGCTGCCTCGTGCAAGAACACAACAGCTTGTCAGAACGACAGCCTTTTTCTGCTGAGTATTCAAGTAGGCTTGCACTCAAGATTACCATGACATGTACTTACAGCAACCTCCTTTCAGCTCTCGGATCAGGCCCTCTGGTTTCCATGCAGCTGGCTGTACATGAGGCATAAACACAACTGAAGCTTAATTCAACACACTGCTGTGCCAACACCACACCTCGACATTTCAGATGACATTTTCTTGAGAGACTTCAGATCCACAGTAATACTGCTAACCTCTCCTGCAAGTTTGCTTTGTCATAACAAAGAATCAAGCCACTACTCAGTCTTTCAGACATCTGTCAGTCATCAAAGCCTGTCCTATAAGCCCTACTCAGACAGAGCGACCCATGGCCCCACCAGCTCACGCTTCCACTCCTTCCTTCTTCAGCATCCTCCCGTAACTGCATTGCAGAGCTCTGAATCAAGGTAAGGGCTCAAGCACTTCCAGGCAAGGACTGATTCATCTTCTCACACACAGGCATCAAATTAGCTTTTGCAGCTTCTGAGCTGAACTGACGTTTTCACACAGTTATCTGCTGTAACCCCAACATCTCACTCCAAAGCACCTGGGGCCATCACTGCATATATAAAAATTAAAATATCGTTTGCCATCTCCCAGGCCTGAGGCAGTAAAGTAGCTGCGGGATTCCACAGCAGTCTGCAGATCAGCTACATCGCCCACGTCTCCCTTCAGAAGACTGCAGTCATTACAATTTGGCTTGTTGCTGTCCGTTTGGTCTGTTTATAGGCATCTCAGACACTCTTGAAGCTGCTTCTCTGAAATCTCACCTGAGAAGCACCCAGAGACCCTTCATTCCCCGCAGCATTTAAGACCTTTTCTGTGGTTGCACACGACTAGCAGTGATATGCCACCTCTCCTCTGCTGCCAGGCAGCAAATTCCTCTGGGCCACAGCCGGACACAGAGAAGTGTCGTCTTTGGCCCTTTTCCTCATCAGTGTCTCACCTCTAGCTCTTAACCTCTCTGTTTGAGATGTCCTCAGCACCAAACAGCAGCTTGTGTTCCTAGCCCAGCCCTTCCTGGGGTTGAACTCACCCCCCTCAGAGCTTCAAACCCACCATGGCCAGGTCTTGTTTCCTTTGGAACCCCTCTCCTGATCCTTCCAAAAGGCGAGGTAACCCCTCCTAATCTGCCTGCATTTCCAGTAAGCTTCACCCCTACATACCCTTTTTTCCCCCCTCTCTAAAAGCAGACCACACTAAGTCACGGCTGTAACCTCAGAGGTCCAGTACACTAACAGGACATCGGCCCGGCACCTAGTGCAGCGGTTTAAGGGAGAGGCAACAAATCATCCACAAGCTAAGAGAAACAGGGCAGAAAGCAGTCTCACACTGCAGGAGCCGACAGCAGAGGAAAAACAACAAGACGAAAAGCACTGACAGGCTGCCGAGTGGTAATACTTGCCAAGAAACCCAGACACCCATCATCTTCTAACAAGGGGCAGGACCCAAACAAGGGCTGAAGCTGCACCAGTGCTTAGAAGCTGACCTCAGCTGCTGCTTGAAGTTTAGCTAGGAGAAGCTATGAAGCAGGTCTCTGCCCAGTAAAGGAGGCCAGAACAAACAGCAAAGAGCCTCTGCTGACCCCTGCAGGAAGCCAGAGACCACAGTGTTTGTTTGCCACCATGATTTAGCAGGCCGTGGAAGTGCCATCTTTCTTCCAATAAATAATGTTTTCCTTGAGCTTATTTTAACAGGACAGCTGATTAACCAGCCACAGTGAGTGGTTACACTGGAGGACGCAGGACAAAGCACCGAGATTAGCAGGACAGCCTTTCGGCTACTGCTCTGTTGCTGCACGAGCAGCCCGCATTCACAGGACAGGAATGGTCTATACCCTCCTCAGGTCTCACCGTTCCCATATGCTCTACCTCATCTGGCAGATGAAAGCTCTTGGGGACAGGGCCAGTCCTCCTGCACAGTCCCAGCAAGCAAGGGTCAGCTTTTCACAAAGGGCTCCTAGATGTCAGGAGACAGACAGCATCGTCATCGTGCTTTTGAAAGGTCCCTACCATATTATGGCTTGGCTTCTACACCCCACCAAGTTCGGGGTTCAGACTGAACCATTCTCAGAGTTCAAGATGGATCTAAGCACGGCCACACTTCAGAACCATGAAGTGGCCTCTCCCTGCTTGGTTGTACAGCAAAGGAGCTGCATAGGAAAGGATCTATCCCACTCCCCCCACACTCAGGAGAACACTGTGAGTTCCACCATGGACCGAGGTGCCAAAAGCACTCTTTGAGGTAGTCTGTAGCTCTGGTAGCAATGCAACTTCTCTACACAAGAGAGGACACACTGCCCATGCAATTAAGCTGAAAGAGAAGCCCAGCTCCAGCCTTTCTGGGGCGAAATTCCAGGACCACTATGATAAAATGAAGAGAGAAGGGTAGCACAGCCTCTCCCGCTCTTCTCTCAGCAAAAGGAGATATGGCGAACACTCAGTATGTAACACCATAAAGCAAAGGCAGCCTCCAGGGGAGAAAAAAGATTCTTGGGACTATGAAAACAAAAGCACACACTGCACTCGGCAGAAGCCTGGTGCACACATCCATTTGTTGGAGGCAAGAGCCCACAGCTCTGCCCAGGCAGGCCTTTGCTTCGGTGCGTCTAGCCGTCCTGTGGTTAGGCAACGGGAAGACAGACACACTTCACCCCATCGCATGAAGCACTGGTGGCTCAACCGCGTGCTCAGTGCACTTCGATATATTTCATCACCTTTCCTCTGCATGGAGAAAGAGGGAAGAGGAGAGAGTGGGAGAGAAGTGGATGTCTTTACACTGAAAAGGCATTTGGGACAGCAAGCCTTTAGTATCCACTCCTGAGTTGACCGAAAGCAGCACACCCCTTCTGCGCAGCAACCCTGGAAATACTCTTCAAGACTTAAAAACAACCAACCAACCTGTCCAGTCGTGGCTTATTCCACACCATCCAGCCCTGTATCAAGAGTTTGGTGCTCACTATGTGTTGCCACAGATTAATCTGACAGAAAACAAGGCTCCGGCATGTGTGAGGGTACCATTCAGGCAGACCATTCTGGAGCCAGAGTCTAGGACAAGTGTCACCTACTTGCTTCAAGCTCTCCAATTTCACTGTTGATTCACATGCATCCTAGAAATGGAGGTCTGTGGACCAAACTGAGGAGATGAGAGAGAACCACAGTCTTGGAAATCCTTTTTTTCTACAAGAATCATGTATTTGCTTCTCCTAGTCACCCTTCACCTCCCAAATACACCTTTGGGGCTCAGATGGTTACTCTGCTCGTCCCCAAGCTGATGTGACACGACACCACTACCTCGGAGTTACAAGGACTGAAAAACCAGGAGTTTTCACAGAACAAGTCCACAGCAGACTCATAAACCGCAGGCTGAGATGCACAAATAAAACATGACAGACTGCGGGGCATGAGACTAGTTCCACACACAGGTTAAGCCAAAGACAGGACAGATCTCATCCCTCCACATGCACACCGCTGTTTCCACAAGGCGTGCAAGTCCCCAGCTGAGCTGACTGCATGGACAGAAGCACTAGCACCCACAGAGAGGTGGTGGAAACACGCAGCCTCTGGAAAGCCTCTCCCAACAGAGGCTCACACTAACAAGCTTGAGCCAACTACCTGCCACTTCTCAGCTGGCTATTTCACAGCCTCATTACCCAGCTAGAAGGTGACAAGCCCTGCTGCTAGATTTCACCATACCAGTCACCTTTATCACACTGGCAGGTCAGAAAGACCTCGGTTTCCTACACTGTTCCTGTGGAAGCAAGAGGAGTATTAGCAACAGGAGGCTCGTGAACGCTGACTTGGAGGTAAAGAAATTCCTGTTTCTAAAGAAGATGCTTTTGTACACTTCCCAGGCTCCATATACTTTTTGCAGTACAGAGCATTGCAGACCAATGGTAAAGCCTGCCGATAACCTACATTCCAGACCCCGATTGAACCCTGTTCTTAAAAGC